AGCTTCGGCTCCAAAGGTTAATTAGCGTTTTAGTCGTATTATTTCCTTAAACAAGGTTAACCAGTTGATCTTCGTAATGGTGAAGTGTAGTGTTTTCTTCGCGGTACGGACTGAATTCTTAAGTTTCATTTGAAAGGGCTTCGGCTCCAAAGGTTAATTACCGTTTTAGTCGTATTATTTCCTTAAACAAGGTTAACCAGTCGATCTTTGTAATGGTGAAGTGTTGTTTTCTTTGCGGTACGGACCGAATCTTTCAATAATACTTATTTAGATGAGGTTCCGGCCTCAAGGGTTGAGGGTCCGAAACTGTATGACCCAGATCACACAGAGGGGATATTATTACTGTGGCACATAATCTCACAACGATGAACATACTCGATATGAACGTATGGTTATTTTTAATTAAGCACTGAGTCATTAGCACGGTCATGACGTCATAATGCAATGTCAGCGGAATACGAGTTGCGTGTTGCAACGGATGTGCTGACGACTGGCAAAATGTTCCCACCTTATGGACCCGAAGGTATAACATTTTGCTATCATCGATATAGTTGGGTGTGAAAGTCTTCATCATCATCACCACCTTCGCCGTTCCATCCTCTAATTTCTTACGTCTCCTTCCGGTATCAAAGTGAAACTATTAAAGGCTACTTAAATTCGTTATTATCAGTGACACTTGGACAGATGTCGGAACATTTTCAACCAATATTTTGTACGTATTTCTCATCTACCCATGAGTGCTACATGCTCCGCCCATCTCGTACGATAACCCTAATGACATTTGGTGAAGTACACAAATTATGGAGCTCCTCACTACGCGGTTTTCTCCAGTCTCCTGTCACTTCATCCCGCTTGGGGTCCAAAGGTATTGTATTTCAGAAACGTCCTCAACCTTACAGCAAAGACACTCTTCAAGACGGCTCTCCAAATGAAACAACAACCACCCAGGAAGACAGCCCATCCTGAGAAGCTAATAGTCGCTCACACAATCAAGAAAGTTGCAAATTTTAGGAGCAAATTCCATCTACTGCGACCTCGATTCTTGTACGAAATGAAAGTGACTTACATTTATGAACCCCCTCCCCCCGTATTGACCTGTATTTCAAGACGATAACGGTACCTGTTGCTGCCACAACTATGCCACTCATGCATAACCACCCATTCGCGGACACCTTGATCATCCTTGCATCGACGTAGCCAGCAATGTCGGTCCAGGCAGACCACAGAGGCACAAGAAGATTTGTCATGTACCTACAAAATGCTTATAAGATAAATCAGTTCTAAGAAAACCGATTTCAGCGTCATGTATTAACCAGAAGCCAATTCGCCCTCGTACCAAATTTCAATAGCATTCGACAAGTACGTATGATTTGGGGTTCACACGAGTTCGAAGATGGATGTCTTCTGGGTTGTAATAAAAAACCAGACAGACACAAAAGCCCGGATCCCCAGGTGGGGCGGTAAGTACAAGACACGCGAGACCCAGTGCTCCATTTTAACATGGTACTTACCTATTTCACGGTAATTCCTAACCTTCGATTGTGGTCTTACATAAAAAAGTGGTTTATTGCACGGTAGACGAGATTTTAATTTTCCCTCTAGAGGCCTCTGCTCCCTAGTCAACTAATTCCAGATAACACTGATTCAAGTCACCTAGCAAAACAGATTCCACACGCACGCATAATCAGGACATCATTGTTTTTGTTTTTCTCACAGGGCTGGTAAAACAATTGCAATTCTAGAACCATCGAATTCGCGGGACAAACTAAAAGACGATCACATCGTGAACACGTGACGGGAGATGACGTCACCAGGTTGGTTCGCTGATTAGCGTTGCCTTGTGTCACTCTTACTCAAAAGATGTAACAACTTCAACACCGAATTCGATCATCTACTTTGACTCTGGTTCCTACCGGCGCCGAACATTTTTTACGCTCCAAAAGAAACATTTGTGCCAAACAATCAGAATTGATTACAGCATCAAAGATCAAGCAAGTTTTATCGATTTTCAAAAGACGCCTTAATGAACTGGAAAGCATATGGAAGGAAGTGAGTATATTTAAGGTATTATCCCGATATTAGCTTGGAACGGCTGAGTGAAACCACGAAAAAAACATCAAGAAAACCGATTCTCCACGACGAGATTTGAACCCGGGACCTCCCGAAAACGGAGAGCCGATGACTCAGCAGCGGCGTCCGGTGGTAGAAAAGACAATTTAAAACAGTTTCGGGCATGTTGGATATTTAACGAAATACAAGGGAAATATTGCATTTGCTCTTGGGCACTGTTACACTTAGAGCGATTAGCTTCGCAACACGAGATTCAAGGTCGGCAAGGCATGACCGCCAAGGCCAATAAGGTACGGAGAGTTACGAAGAACTCACTTGGTACATACGAGCTCTTCAGCCATAGCTAACATTTCCCCACTTGTGACAGCAGACATCCTGTTTAGTATCACTTTTAGCTTCCCTGAATACCCATTTGAAGCCCAAGCTCGCGTAAATATTATTTAATAATTCAGTCCGTACCGCAAAGAAAACACTACACTTCACCATTACAAAGATCAACCGGTTAACGTTGTTTAAGGAAATAATACGACTAAAACGCTAATTAACCTTTGGAGCCGAAGCTCTTTCAAATGAAACTTAAGAATTCAGTCCGTACCGCAAAGAAAACACTACACTTCACCATTACAAAGATCAACCGGTTAACGTTGTTTAAGGAAATAATACGACTAAAACGCTAATTAACCTTTGGAGCCGAAGCTCTTTCAACTGAAACTTAAGAATTCAGTCCGTACCGCGAAGAAAACACTACACTTCACCATT